TTTTGGTTGGCTTATTCTAATTGGAGCAATGGGCTATTTTGGTTGGGCTACTACAATTGAAGCAATGGGCTATTTTCCCTCTTGTGCTTACCCACGTTTGGGCCTAAAAATGGGCTTGAGTCCCGAGGCCCCAAGCGACCTGAGACTTCCATTTCTCGACCCACCGATAGGCCCCATGACAACTCGTTACCATCCATACCACAACCCACTCAAGCAAGCCCCGAGCATTGGAGTGGCTTGGGCCCACTTAAGCTTGTAGTGCGATTGGGTGTGGGATAATAATTTCCCGCTTGGCATGGCATGTTGCTTGGCACGCTTTTAATCATTATGCTTGATGAGATAATTAGCATGGATTTGCAAAGCTAATGCACTTTATAATCTTAATCTTGATTCTTAGCATGATGGATTATTTATTTGGCATGGCATGCAGGGTGTGGCTTGTGCATGGCAGACTTTTGTGTATTCCAAATCGGGTCTTTTTCCAATAATATATCGTCTTGGGCTAGGAATTTATTCGGGCCCAACCATGGATTTTTTGGGCCTCAACAGATAGTAATTGTTTCAATCATTTAAACTTGACATTCTATGCTTCTGCGGAAATGGGACTTGCATGTCACTGGCCTTTTGAGGTTTAATTAATTCGATGATCCCCATACCAGAGACCCTTTATTTATAAAGCTAAGTGGCTTGTGGAGGCTTTGAAGCAACTATAGCGGCAGATAAGCTAACTGCCATAGCATACAACATAACACATTCAACAACATATCCATTTTAGTCATATCTACAGTTCCAATATTTTTATATTAAAATTTACCAAACGGTTTTGAAGGCAAACAAAAAGCGCTCGTCACGAATGCTTACAATCTCCATCATGGCCTTAGGATGCCACAAACCTTTCATTACGTTGAAAAAAGCACCACTGTTGACTGGTTTTACCAATGCCTATGTAGTGTTGTTGAAAGTGAAATTTGGCATAGTGTTGGTATAGCGACTTCATTCAGCAACAGTGTTGCTAACTATAATAGCACATTTTTCTTCCTCTATTGTTGGCGTTAGCGAATCCTATGACCAGGTGTTCCGGGCCGAGGGGATCTGCGTCAACACAGGTCGTCCTTCTTCTGGCGCCGTGTGGTTTGTGCACGGGCGTGCCAGCACGGTTTACCGTGCGTTTGAGAATGATGCGGCTGGGTGAATAGATGAGTTGCACGCCTGTTTAAGTTTGACTTATAATCAGAGCGATTGTGGCCGAGAGAGGAACTGATCTCAGCCGTCAGGTTCATGGCCCGAGCTACAAGGCCGTTGATAGTGGTGCTGATGGTGATTTTAGGTGGTGCTCCGGCGCGTCGCTGGGTGGCGACGGTCGTATGATATATGGAATGAACGAAAGAGTAACACAGATGGTGCTCTGGCGCCTTGAAAATCAAAGGTCGTATGATATATTGATGAATGGATTTTCCTACAAACTGCCACTACTCCTAGGAAAGCAAGTAAATGTATTGAAAGTGCATTACAAGAAGATAAATGATAGGAAGATAAATGACAGGAAAATATAATTTGCTCCGTGGGAGGCTTGTGTTTGGTGTTGAACCCTTTAAATGTAGTTGGAGCTCGCTATTTATAGAGAAGGTCTTGAGGAGACAATGAAGCTGAAAATCTGCATGGTGAGGTTGATTAGAGCTAATGGGCAGTCGAGTCGGCATTTGGGAACGTGAAGCATGGTGGTGTGACACCCATAAACCCCGGCCGCCGCCCTGGTGATGGGCTCTGCATCTCGGGCCTTGGAGGTGCATTTAATGCCCTGGTCTGATGGTTGGTGGCTTAGCCTTACAAAATCATGGGATTTTCGCACCTAATCCCTGATTTTACTCACCATATCTGATTTCAATCACGTCCCTTCTTTTTTGGCTCATTAAATGCTCCTACATGGATCATAGTCTTTCTGCTGTGATCAGAGGCACTACTTCATTCAATGAAGTGTGGGACCATGATGCCACGTGGCGATGTCACTTGATTTTCCTACTTTGGCCGTGCATCTGAGGAGTTTGCCCTCGGCCAGTATTACCGAGGCCGTGACCGAGGCCGTGATGACTTTGAATCATAACTTACTTTTGTTTTTTTAAAAAGGAAGTACAATGACCTGGCCATGGATAGACGCTAGGGCCGAGCTATTGTTCCTTCGGCCAGCCTCCTTCAGTCAGCTTCCTTGGCCGAGTTTTATTAGGCACAAACATCTGTTAAGACGAAGTTCGATGTAAACTTGTTGATAAACTCCTTCATTGCTCTATAATGAGACTGGCCACCCATACTGACGCAACGAAATATAAGGGATAGGGAGATCAAACGATAACCCTACAAGTAACAATGTCGGAATCCACCAACTAGAATCCACCAGTAAACCTCAAATATATTGATTGAAAATAAGATGAATAAACTGACAAGTACAGTGCCATGAGTTGGCTTAAATAGAAAACAAAGAAACCCTAATATCGTAGGAAACCCTAGGTTCTAGAATATTCCTAAACTTAGCTAACAAGAAAATAATAAAAATTATAGCTAAAATAAAATCATATTAGGAAAATAATATCCTAATAGATAACTTGTTCTTTAAAATATAAAATAAAACATGAAATTAAATAAAAATCTTGACAGAATCATAATTGCTTCAAACTTTCTCAATCAATCAGAAAATCCCAACAATATGCCTTCCCTACGCCATAATTGACATTTAATTGGAATTTTCCTCTCTCATATGATTTCCTTCCAACTTCGAGCCACTTTATTTAAATTAATTTTTCACACCATAATTGACCCATATTTCGTCCTGCATCACATACGCAAATCCAAGTTGAGAAGAGCTGAACCATCGGACTGAAGGAAAACTAAAAACCCTCATAGGAATGGACTTTTTGAGCGACTTCTTCAGTGTTTTTAGCTTCTGGGGTTCGTCGTTTGTTTCCTTGGAACATCCATCACTCACTCATTCTCTTTTAGCATTAAAATTGTTAACAACTTTACTTTTGAAAACAAATTTTTTTTTCTTCAGGATATTTTTTACTAACACTTTTAATCAGCTATATGTAAGATATAAAAAAAAGTATTGTTTCATTGATGTTGCTGAGGAAAAATATCTCAATGCCTAGCTCAGCTAAAATCCAAATGACTGAGTTGAGCTTGGGTCCAAGTGATCAAGCTGAGCTATCAAGTCCGAGTGGATGAGTTGTGCTTGAGATCAAGTGGTCGAACCTAATTGCCACATAAATTTTATTTTCCCAAGAGGTGCAACCTAAATGACACCTCTTTTATCAAAGTCTTATTTTCAAAATTCTCTTAACCAATTGAATTATAAGTCCCTTATAAAATAAGCATTTAGTTGGTGGAAACTTTTTTAGTTGTTGTTCCATAAAGAGAGCTTGGCTTGGTACTATGTGGAAGTAAGTTTACCTTGAAACCGCATTAAGCATAGTTTATTAAAAGAATTTTGGAGAGAGATGTTAGGCGCGTGTGCCTATGTGTGATATCTGAAGACAGTTAATCCTCGTGTCTTTAGTTAGTTTGTTTAAGAAGTAGTTAGGCTGTTAATTAAACAGCTAATTAGACTGTTAAGCTTTGATGAGAGTACAAATACTCTCCTTTAATTAGCATTGTAAAATTAATAGAGACAATTAATTGATGGTTTCTCTCATTTTCTTGGCTTTGATTATCTTTGTTCTTTCTCTGACCATCACAAATATTGTTATCAATCCACTTTAGTCTCGTTGATCACTTGAAAATATATAGACCCGCTTTGATGAGATTTCTTTACTGTTGAGATAGGTCAAGTACGTAAGCAGGCCAATAATTGTTATCAATCCACTTCTGCCTAATTTTTTAGTTGCTGGTTTTGTCGCCCCAATTTTTGGTTTTTTTCTATCACAAACAAACATTGAGGGAATCGTGTTGGGAGGAGCCAGTACTCTAAAAAGCAGGATTCAAGAGATGTGTGTAGTAAAAGGTTACACGATGCTGCATTCTTATTCGTAGAATATGTACTTTGGCAATTAGAGAATTTTATGCCCTGGAAAATTCACTTTCTTAGTCACCTAGAAATTGCAGCTATATGTACTCATATACAACAACTGTCGAGCACTGACAAGTTAGTAAGTTAATACAGTGCTAGCCACATTGAAAGGATGATCTATCGATGAAGATCTAAAAAGAGTAACGATTTAGATCACGAGATGGATTATAGAGTGGGTCAAAATGTGTTGTCATATTAATTTATTAACTAGTTAGTGCGTGACTGAAACTATATATATATATAACATTTTCTTTTGGTAAGCCCTACATGAAAACATATTTTAATAGTTAGACTGGTAGCTAATTTATGATGGAGAATTGTAGCAATCTCTTAAACTTGTCACTTTTCGCTTCTGTGGATACGAGATATTGCACGTCACTGGCCTTTTAAGCTTTAATCTGATCGTCTCCATACCGTCAGAGACCTTTTATTTATAATGCTAGGTGGCTTCTGGAGGCTTTGAAGTAACTAGCAGACACAAGATAAACTAGCTTGCTAACATACAACGCTGGCCAACAAGAAGATGGAGGGCTATAACTTGGGTGTGAGAAAAGGAGCTTGGACTGGAGAGGAAGATGATCTTTTGAGGCAGTGCATTGAGAATCATGGAGAAGGAAACTGGCACCAAGTTCCTTACAAAGCAGGTATTGACGTAAATATAACTCAAAGAGAGATATATGATATTGATGGTTAATATATAGCTAGAGCTTAATAGGCAGTGAAGCCTAAATTAATTAGTAATGTTTACAAGGTCTTAAACTTCTCCACTTACGTTGTCTACGTGTTTAGATCAAATGATATCACTCGTGAGTCGAGGGGTGCTGAGAGACTTATCCCACATCGGGAATTTTTTGCATTATGCACGTGTGCAGGATTACGCAGATGCAGGAAGAGCTGTAGACTAAGGTGGTTGAACTATTTGAAGCCAAATATCAAGAGAGGAGACTTTATGGAAGATGAAGTAGATCTAATAATTAGGCTTCACAAGCTTTTAGGAAACAGGTACCAATAAATAAGTGCTCTATCCTAACTATGAAGCTCCACATCCACATCGTCATTATTGTCCATGTGGTTATTCAATTATTTGGATCTGCAAATTGGAAAATCTTGGTGTACAAATTCCTTCTACTATATAAGCTCTTACCCTGTGGTTAGATGAGGAAAATAAACTTACAAATTGGATAAAAGTTAGAATTTCTAGAATAACATACTCTAATTCCTTCTAAAATACCACAATCCCAACCACTGTCACCATCGTCACCACCGTGACCACAATGTTACCATAGCCATCACCATCTCTACCACAATAACTCCCACCACGGCATCACCACAACAACCCCCACCATCACTGCTACCACCACATTCACCACCATCGCCGCCACCACCACCACCTCTACTGCTACTGGCGGACCCAATACATGCCTATTATGGGCAGCTGCCCACACTTAAGTGTTTTCTTCACCCTCTAGCCAAATACTTTGCCAATAAAAATAAGACACTTAGCTAATATTTTGCATGCAAAATCCCCACTCAGCACCCTAAATAAGTAAAGCCTTCAGGGCTCGTTTGGTACACAGGATTGGCTTGGACTGGCTTGGACTAAATTTAGTACCATGTTTGTTTTATCTAATCCTAGTCTTAGATGGGATTGCTAATACCGGGCCCACCAAAAACACCTCCTTAGGAGGGGACTATTAATCCCTTGTAAAAAGGGAGGATTAGCTAGTCCTAATGCTCACCAATGTATAAAATGCATATATTATATTGTAAAATTAATAACATATATTATTATTATTAAACTTACTTACACATATACTATAATGTACATATATACATGTATATACACATAAATATATCATATATGTATATATGTATATATATACATATATAATATATATAATATACATATACATATATACATGTATATTATTATTATAATATACCCATATACACATATACATATTAATATTATAATAATAGCACAGTCCTGATCTCTTGGACTACAGGGGTCCAAGAGATTTGTGGTCACTCACCGTTGGATATAAATTCAACGGTTCACTTACTCTTGCACTTCTTTTAAAAAATAATTTTGAACCATTGGATGACCACAATCTCTTGGACTCCTGGGGTCCAAGAGATCGGGAATGTACCTATTTCTCTCTACAAAGACACCCATATACATGTATACATGTATATACACATACATGTCACATATATTATAAAATACATATGTACACATACATAATACATGTATTTATACATATATACATATACATAGATAGTTTTGAAGAAAAAAAAAATCTAGTCCTAGTCCAAGCATACACCAAACGCAGGATAAGTGTTATCCAACTTAGACCAAGCCAAGCCAAGCCAAAACAGTCCTTAAGCATAGTCCATGCCAAGACAGTCCTGTGTACCAAACGAGCCCTCAAGGTTTTAGCTCAAAACCTCACCTATATTGAAAATATCAAGGCCCAAGACTTAATAAACATGTGGTCCAATATATAAAGCCTTAGATTTTGGCCCAAGATCATATATTAAAAAATTATTGAAATAGATTATGTGTTATAATATATATTGTATTGCTATGAAAACCTAGACTTTGTAGAAGTCAGTTATGAAATTATTTTTTACGGCCCCAGATGGACAAAAGTCTAGGTCCGCCACTGTCTACTGCAACCACCTTGGCATAGCATAACCATCACCATCACCAACGATACTCGACCTCACCACCTACTACAAGCCGCACCACCAACAACACACATGATGGGTCACTATTACTACCATTAACACATCTACCAACTACAACCTCTCGTTTGTAGATTGATACCCTTTAAAAGGATAAACTTTAAATTCAGCATTTATCTCATTATATTTTTAAGTTAACCAAACAAGAAACTTTCTAAATTGATTTTCGTCATTTTTGAATTTCTTCATAACTTAAACTTCATCATCCAAACATATGATCAAAACAATTAAGTGGAGAGTTTTTCTTTTAGGATGTCCTTATTTTATTAAAAATGCACATATTCATCATCCTAGGGCTACTCAATAATGTAATTCAATAATCATAACTGTCTATATTTTTAGTAATCCTCCAAAGGTCAACCTTGCTAAAAATCATCCATATAATAAACTTTTTAGTCATATAAAATGTGCAAATAAAAAGCGTACGTAGTATCTGAAAGTTTACGTGAATTTTCCAACAAAACTAACAAACCCTTTTATAGCAGTAGAAATATAAACATACTTTGTTGGAAAAACATCACATCTTTCTACTTTTTTTGTGTGTATCATAGCACAAATGTATTGATTTATTTTCTCATGCAATCTGTCGAAGGTGGTCATTGATTGCTGGAAGGCTTCCAGGAAGGACAGCGAATGATGTGAAAAATTATTGGAACACCCGACTGCGGATGGATTCTCGCCTGAAAAAGGTGAAAGATAAACCCCAAGAAACAATAAAGACCACCGTAATAAGACCTCAACCACGAAGCTTCATTAAAAGTTCAAATTGTTTGAGTAGTAAAGAACCCCATATTCAAACAGTTGAGAATTGTAGTACGCCATCACAAACATCACCATCAACAAAGAATGGAAATGATTGGTGGGAAACCTTTTTAGATGACGAGGATGCTTTTGAAAGAGCTACATGTTATGGTCTCGCGTTAGAGGAAGAAGGGTTCACAAGTTTTTGGGTTGATGATATGCCACAATCGAAAAGACAGTGTGCCAATGTTTCAGAAGAAGGACTAGGTAGAGGTGATTTCTCTTTTAACGTGGACCTTTGGAATCATTCAAAACAAGAATAGAGAAAGAAATTCTTGTACAAAATACAACTATCACTGGCTTTGTTTTCATTCAAATGAATGTCTTGGTGTCTAAGTCTTTGTAATGTTGGGCTTAGTATTTTCCTTTTGCCTTTTTTTTTTGGGTAATGTTTGATGGCGACTTTGCATTAATGTATATATCATCTAGCTTGTGTACTACTGTTTTCCTTTTGTTGATGTTAATTTAAAATTCTTTTATATGACTACACAATGAGGATATCAAAATTAATGTGGGCATGCATAGAAAAGTCACATGAGAAGATGCTATGAGAAATAAAGCGTAGTGATGAGCTGAATAAAAGTCACATGTACGTCTATGTCTCCAAACTATACTTTTGCAATTTATTAGTATGCATAACAACGTTTGGCAATCAGTGATCTTAGGTTCAAACTCACATGACATCTTGGTAATATGAATATGTGAAACCCCATTCCCCTTATAATTTAGACTATCGTTTGTATTAAAACAAAAAACAAACAAAACAAACAAAAAATCATAGGCAATCAATCTTGATAAACGGGATTTTCTTGAGTATGAAATTGTCCACTTGTTACACTAAGTATGAATCTCGTTAGAACTCCTGCCCATTAATTCCAATTAAATTAATTTATATAAATTAATTTTTTTCAGCTTCCAGGAGTTAAGTTATGAACAACTAAACGTACATGTCATTTGTGTTTTAAACACATATGTTATTGATATACCCAAATTAATCAGAACATTGTGAAGTTTTTCATTTTACAGTTGCAATGCAATAAAATTGTTCTATATATAACACGCAACAATGACTATAAACTCTTGTCAAAACACATTCTCCCATTTAGATGCCCAAACGTTATTATTGTGTGTACGTCATGTATTTTCTACTACTTCTCTTTGATTTGTCGCATGTTTACAATGGCGTCCGCATGGTAATAACTTACGGACGTTCACATAGGAGAAAAATTGTATATATAATATATGTGTATATATATATATATATATATAGGGGCTTCTTAGATATAGGTCCATTTTCATCAAGATATAATGGATGCAGTCAATGTGCTCTCTCTTTTCAATTGTAGTCCAATCTCACCAATTAAGCAATTAGTATGTCCATAATTTTTTTCAAATTTACAGGATATGCCACTATCATAAATGGAATTATATGAAAACACTTTCCTAAAATTCAGTGTTTCCTTATATATATGTGTATGTGTATGCATTTCCTTATATATAATGCATTTTCCTTGTATATATATGTACCTGCCTTACAAGTAAGTGTTTTTTTCTTGAGTTTTCTTAAGCAGTTTTTTCTGGAGCTTCATATTTATATACATTCGTACCTGTCTTCCATGTAATAGTGTTTTTTTTTTGTTTTTCCAAAGAAATTTTGTATGGATTTTTATCTCAGTTGAGTTTAAAGATCCATACCAAGATATTATATGAGTTCAATTACCTGGGTTAGAGGGTATAACTACCTAGACTATAGAAAATTTATGGATTTAATTACCTGGACTAGAGGTAATTTATGGGTTTAATTATCAACATATTGCATACGAGGTGTATGCATAGGTACCTTACCTATTGTTAAGGTATGAAGTTTTTATGAACTCTTATTACAAATTTTGATGTCAATATACCTTGGAAAATTTTTAGAATTCAATAAATAGATTTGCAATTAAATTCAAATCAAATATGGTAATTAATGTCCTACAAATCAATAACTTACCAGTTTTACGAATTCATAATTTACCTTATTTATGTTTTAGGTGCATAACTAGAACAATAAATTGAAAAAGACATGTAATTTTATGTGGCACAAAAGTCAAAGGAGTTGGATCAACAACAATTTCTACGTGGATTGCACCCAATATCTCTCCTCATAATTAGACTTATGCCAAATTTTCTAATATATATAGCTACAGCTTAATTAAGTAGTGAAGTCCTGCATTAGGTTTAATTATGCATGCTGTAGAAAGATGTTATACAATTTTGCATTATGCATGTGTGCATGATTAAAAAGGTGCAGGAAGTGTACGGAGTCACCATTTTGGCTAGCACTTTACCCCTTACGGGCTGACCCGGTGTGAGCGGGGATTAGTCTGGGTTGTGGTTAAGGCTTAAAGGTGCCACCCATAGTTGGGGCCCATCCAGAACCACCTCGTGGTTCAGACCAAAAAAAAAAAAGGGTGCAGGAAGAGCTATAGACTAAGGTGTTTGAACTACTTCAAGCCAAATATTCAAAGAGGAGACTTTACAGAGGATGAAGTAGATCTGTATATTAATTAGGCTTCATAGCTCAACATCCACATCCTCATTATTGTACGGCAATGACTACTTAGGCCCCATTTGGTAATGCTTTTTTTCCCCAAAGTATGCTTCACTCTAAAGTTAACCAGTTAAAGGTGTTTGGTAAAAATTAAAAATCCTCATTATTTTAAAAGAAATGACCTCCTAATAGCAGCTTTTAAAAGCAGCCTTTAGGTGCTTTCATAAGAAGCAGATAAGAGCCTTTAATGATTTTTTTATTTTTTTATTTTAGCTATCACCTCCACCTTCATCACCACCACATCAACCTCCACCACCACATGGTTAGCACATAATACATTCAACATCATGTCCATTTTAGTCATTATCCACAATTTCAACAGTTTTATATTAAAATTTACCAAACGATTTTGACACTGCTTTTTATACTAATAGAACTTTAAAAAAAAATGGTGAGTCATCATCTAGTACAATGTCCTGCAAAATAATTGAGGTATTTTCAAAATGATATACATCGCCTTTCATGCTTTAAGGAAATCACCACTCTTTCTCAGTTATGTCAACAACTGGTGGAACAACTTTGGTACAAAACTACTATTTGTTTGACAGGTTGATTCGGTTGGTGTTGACTATTCCTCCTTCTACAACAACAATGGAATGAGCTTTTTCATGTATGAAAATTATTAAGAATCGACTTGGGAGCACCATAGCCGATGAATTCTTTGCTGATTGGATGATCCTCCGCATTGAAAGAGAGTTTGCTAATAGTATCGATAAAGTAGAGCAACATGAATTTTAGACCAACACAAATTTTATTTCCACGATCACCGTGTTTAAATAATTTAATTTGAGCACACCATTGGGGTCCGTCACAAATATTATTTCAATAATATGAGTCGTCTATCTTTCAAGTCTTCATCCATAGAATATTCCTGCAAAATAATTAGAGAAATTGAAAACCATTAAGACATCTAGTTGTCATCAATAAAATAGATGCATACGGTGCTTGAAGAAAACCATAAAATGACATTTGTTTAATTGAGCGGTCAAATAATTTCGAATTTAAAAGTGATCTTTTGTATGAATGATCATTAAAGGAATACCTAAGAAAATAACCTATTCGGATCATGGAAATCCAATCCCTCAATTTCATATCTTCATTTGATGATAACCTTACTAATCCAGCAAATCGTGGCCCCAAAATTTGCAAATAGTACTCAAAACTTCTGGCTATTCTACTTCTAGGACTTAAATGAATTCAAATATTGGTCCCATTCTTTTTGAATATGAAATCTTGGCCCCGTGGTTTTTTGTATACAAGATCAATTTTGAAAACGATTGAATAAAGATACTTAATTATTACTGCTTAATTCCACTTTTCCAGACAATGATGTTGTATATCACCTAGGCAGTTACAATATCGATTCGTTTTCTCATATAAGTTACACTGTAACGTCAAGTTGTTTGGTTTCTTCCAGTAAGGCATCTGTCTCACTGATAGCGCTTTGTAATGGATGTGGGAGGGTTGGCAGTTGTAAAAAGCTTTTTTTTTTTTTTTTAATTTTTTTTTTTTAGTTATTTACTGTTGGCGAGTCCTAGTCCTATTCTATTTGGGTTTTATTTATTTTACCTTTTGTGTAGATATTATGTAATTAGGATTCCACTTATTTCCTAATTAAACCCTACTAGGGTTTGTAACCTGTATTATAAATACCTCCTTTCGGAGAATGAAATATATCTGAAAATATTCTACCCATATTATTTGACTTGGTATCAGAGCCGACTTTCTAGTGACCTGTGTGTGTTGTGCCCACCCGTGTTCTACTGTGTGCCCTAATTTCTTTAGGGTTCTTGTGCCTGCGCCTTTGTCGTGTTCCGCTGTGTGCTCTATGCCTTTACTGTGTTCGTGCCTCTACTGTCTTCGTGCATCTGCCTCTATTGTGTTCGTGCCTCTACTGTCTTCGTACATCTGCCGGATTTGTGTCTGTGCTGTGTTCTGTTGTATACTCTGCGTGATTTGTT